AACCGGAGGATTGGCAGTGAAAGCACCAGTGCCAAATCCAAACTTTGGCATAAACAGACCGGCTGAAAAGACGCTAGACCCGAGAAAACGTACAGTGGATCCCAGAAAACGACTGAATGATATCACAGTAGATCCCAGGAAGAAACCCAAGGTTGAGAATCAGGAATGAGTCAATTGAAGAACATTTTGTATTGATGATTAAAGATGTAGCAAACAGAGCGAATTGCAATATGTATGAATGACTAGCAAAGGAGACATTGGAAGAAATGAAACGAGAAACTAGCGCCACGGCTTGGGTTGGCCAGAGTGTTGAGACCGGTCTGATGTCGATGTACGGGACTGGCCAGGAGCACGACGCCCATAAGTCGTAAGTCCTGGAACACTCGCTGAAGGCGCGGGAAGGCGCCTTGGATTTCCGGTGGCGCTAATTTGACTAGGTCGAGGAGAATCCGACGACGATGACTCGGAGACCTTAGGGCTAGGCTTCCGTTTCGGTTTCTTCGGTGTCGGTGGCGCCTCGCGATGCTGTTTCTGAAGCGCCGAGGGTGGCGAGAAAGCAGGCTTACGCTTGTTGCTGGAGGAAGCGCTCGCATTTCCCTGAGACGAAACAGGCGCAGGTGGCGGTCCCATCGATCCGAAGCCTGATTTGTGGCGAGGAGGAGTTGTAACCTCTTTCTCTTTCCCTTTGCCCTTGTTCGCAACTAGTGTTAACCTAGGAAGGACTTTCGAAGTGTTTGAACGCGTCGACACCCTCGATGGCGTTGGTGCATTGGTGGGGATAAAATAACCGGCCTTGTTTCTGTCAGGGAATTGGTCTGACGGTGGAGGCCTACCAGACGTATCGTTATCTGAGGGCGGATTCTGTGCGGGATCCGTGAACCAGTGGGGGATTTTTCCGGACCAAAGAGCTGAGATCTTTTCTACAGCCCGTACAGATTCATTTATCTCTTCAGAGAACGTCCATCGGGCATCATAAGTCGTTGTGTTGGATTTGTAGTCACGAGCCTTTAGCTTTTCCAACATTTTGCCCGCATGAGCGATGGCAAAAAATGGATGACAATGGCTGGTAACCGTGAAGGTTCGGAAAGGAGGAGAGATTTTTTCGTATTCTTTCAGCTCGACACCGGCGGGTGACTGGTCATAGGAGTCGAGAATCAAGCGGTGGATACTCTCATTGGGCTGACATGAGAGATTAAGGAACTGATACTCCCAGCCGGTCTCCGAGTCTGGAAAAAGCTAGATAGGAAACGATCAGATTGCGAAAATAAACAATGATAAGGGGACTAACCTCTTTGAAGTATCGCTTGTCTGCCGTTTTTGCGCTGGTATCATTCAATTTAGAGTTGAGGTAGTGGGCGAGGATCTTCCTCAAAACATTTGCCAACGGGATCAGGACCCAGACACCATGATCCATACCAAAATGCTTCGTAGGAGTTACTGCTTCGATTCAGTGGTAGTTGGACGTGAATGGGACTTTTAAAGCTCACGGAGAATTATATTCCACATCGTGTCGAGGTTCAGGGTTCTGGCGAACATCCCCCAATGGTATTCGAGTTTGAGCCGCTAGAAACAATGTTCAGTTGAATCACAATGAAACAGCGTAGAGGTTTCTTACCGCATCTCCCCGAGTAGAGCGCCCAACGATATGGCAGAATTGCACTACAGCCAAGGCAAGAGTTATGAGACACCGTTTTCCGGGAGATCCCAGTAATTTCTCCGAGGTAGCGACAACATTAGCTTTCGTCTTCGGGTCCAAGCCCCTCTTGGTATCTGCAGGACGATTTGGAGTGACAAATGGGAGATTATTGGGCTCCAAGATCTCATCACGCTCCGAGTCAGAATTCGAGCTATCTTCGAGCTCATAGTCTTTGTCGAAACTGCCTGGTTTAGATGAGGTTGAACTTGAAGAGCTCCCGCTCGAGTCGAGGAGCTCACTGCTAAGTAGTCGCCGCCCCCAACGGATAACGAGGTCTTGGGACGCTCAAGACACGAGAAGATCTACGAGATTCTCGCTGGCCGCCATCACTGAAGTTGTCGGACGGTGGTGGCAGAGATGGCGAGGACACTGAGAAGACGTCGTCCGAGTCGGCCAGTGGCGCCACGATTTTTTGGGCGGCCATCGATGGGCGTTGGAGATTGAAGGTGGGAAAGTTATCGTGAAGTCCCGGAACTATAAGAGGATTTAGGAACAATAGGACCCAGATCCGACGAACAAAAGAATAGAATCAAAAGGCTCAGGGTCCAGGCCGAGAAAAAATAAATAAGAGGAAGTTGTGACATTGTGTCACGAGGTGTCACTGCATCATCAGCACGTGTCGAAACCACCTTGTTCCACATCAACGATGAGCAATTCTGTGCCACTCGAGGCTCTTACCACCGCCCTGGACGATCTCGGCGCACCATTAGAAAAATATGCTCTTGTATCGGGTGAAAGTCATATGGTAAGAAGGTTCGCTTCTTTGCTGTTTACCCGCCTCATACCATTCAGCATCGAGCACTCGAGTTTATCTGGGGCTTGAATGCCTTCGAATTTGACGAAACGCACGAGAAGAATATCATCTGCTGTGGGCAATGAATCCGCTTGCTCAATGACGCGCTGGCTAACCTTTTTCACAGTGCGAAAATCTATGCATGGCCTGCTCTCTCAAGGATGGACCTTGATTCCGACCATAGAAACGCTGACCGCCATGAAAGAGATGGTACGGTATAATACCCAGTGCGCTTTAACGCAAAGAAAAAGCTTTCTCACCGTGAGTTCATTGCTGTCCGGTCCTATCGCTGTTCTCAATGTTTTGCAGGAGTTTTCGGCTCCCGAATACGAATACATATTCCTACCGCTCGATATCCAGGAAGAGATACTCGTCTATGAACATCGCTTTGTCCCACCGTACCAAGATTTCCCTCGCATTAGGTGCAGCGCCAATCCATTCTTTGTTGCATATCACTGTGAAGGTCAAATCATTCTTTCCGACCCCGCAGTCTGCCCTAGACCCTACCGATCGGCTTATTTCTTAGTCTCGTCGGACTGGCACGGCGGATGTCCGAAATCATTCGTTGGTGAAATTGAATCATCCGATTCCGATTCCGACGACGAGACCCAGTGGAGCGACAGCAGCGAAGACTCAGTCCCCGCTCCAGCTCTTCCTCCACCCAGCCGAACGCCTGTCACCAAACAGAGTCGCATCGCAAATTGGGTCAAGTCCAACGCCGACCCAGAACTTCACCAGCCTGCGATGGAGCCTCTCAAGTCGCCCCTGAAAGCAAGGAAACCGCGACCCGATTCCAAAGCCGCATGGCGCAGGGATTCGGCACTCGGGCAGCGGTGGACAGAACAGCTGTTTGAATAAGGTTTATTTCTATTACATATTTTATCTCATTTTTATCAATCTGGAACGTCATATATGTATCGCTACCTACATCTACATCTCTTCGCTCTGCAGCTTCCGTTTGTTATTGTATTTGCATATCGTATCATCACTTGATTGAATTTACATTTCCTATTGTTCTTCTCATTCCGTCTTGCTGCGCTCGCGAAACTCACGTGCTGCGAATGTTCCGTTTGCCAGGCGCTGAGCGCTCGGGAACCAAAGAATGAGCGCTGAGCACCGACCATGACCTCGCATTCCGTAAATATCGCCACTGATTCTGCTCGAGTCTATGTCGACTACGACAGCTCGAATCCACCGCCTCATTCAGGAGCTCAATCATGGACGCGCTTTGTACGTCTGGTTCCGATTCTTCCAATGCAATTCACCGAATGCTTCATGGTCAGGTCTGCATATCGGATACGCATTCCAGAACACGATTTCCCTTCAAGCTCCCCCCCGGAGACGTCCTATTGTGCTCTGGAGATATCAGCAGCCACGGATATCCAAAACAGGTCCGAGCATCGCTGAAATGGCTCAAAGGGCTGAAATATCCGATAAAGATGTATGTTTCTCCCCAGTCTAGAAGAGGATTACTGACGCCTTTGCTATAGAGTCATTTCTGGGAACCACGATGTTCGTATTCTCTGCTTTCTTTCTGTCCACGATCCTTACACTGGTCGCAGCTCAGCCTGGATGATTCGCCAGACATGGTAGCCATGCTTGCCGAGGTACAGTATATTCGATTCTTAGCCTTCCCAGCTAAAGCCTGATTGTGGTCTAGCGCTCGGACACGCCGTTCGAACACATGGCCAAATTCGCAAAAAGTCAGGAGATGCGGGATGCTGGAGTTCACTATTTGCAATATGAACCTTTGATTGTGGCCTCGCCACACGGAAAGCAATGGAAAATCTTTGGATCTCCTGTGCGTCCCGTCTCCCTCATCCTGAATTCGCTGAACATGTTGATACAGGCGTCACCTCGGCACCCTAGAGGCGCATTCCAGTACAACAGGGACGAAGGATATTGTCAGTTCTCTCCTTCACCCTTATTTATTCCACCATTGACTTTAGATTTCAGACGTACACCGTCAGATCCCGCGAGACACCGAGATTCTGCTGACCCATTCTCCTCCATATCACACATTGGACAAGACGCGCAAGCATGTGCATGCGGGGTGTCATGCTTTGCAAAGCAGGATGGAGAAGCTGCCGGCGTGCAGGTTGCACGTATTCGGACACATTCATGAGGCGTATGGTGCTGCATGCGTTGAAGGAAGAATCGCCGTCAATGCTGCAGTAAGCCATGCACCTTGCGCTGTTATCGTCGACCTTAGAAACTGAACTTGATTGCATTTAGACTAGGATCGCTTTGTTTTACCGGCAGTAATGCCAGCTTCTGCTTGTACGAAAGGACAAGCGAAATACATCAGAAGGTGTTAATCCAGAGTCCGACCAAGTTTCTGCCTAAATGACCTGAAAGTTTGCTTTTCCCGGTTTCGTATGATGTTGGATACTCTTCTCCCTATGTACCGCTCATAATGTTCTTGATCCTCTGATGTTCTGGGCTCGGGTGTATGAACAATAGAAGACGAGCGAACTGACAGAATAAAAAACTACATAGATCCTCAACCGAGGCAACAACCTGGAATTGAACCAGGGCAGTCCGTAACCTGATAGTCAGACATGCTACCACTACACTATCATCGCTTGGAACAGCGGGACAAAGATAGGAAGGAAGGAAGTACATTTCGGCATGGTCCACGTCCTGAACACCGTGTCCCAATATATGCCGATTGAAGAATCGAAGATTAATGATGTCTCCGACAAGGACTTACTAACGAGAGTCAGAGAAAAGCGCTCCGAAATTCAACAGCGCTCGAATCCCTTACACTTCGCCTCATACCCGGGACGTTCTAAGGGATTATTGTTTAACTGGGTTTGCTTTTCTCCATCTCTTTTTCTTGTACAATGCCTGATCCTCTTCCACTTCCTCCTATGTACCTCGAGCTTCCTTCGATCTACCTTGCACTTCCTCGCATGTACCTTGAGCTTGAAACCTGATGATGTTCCTTATGTTCTTTGCAGATATGTAATAATGTATGGATGGTTGTAAGAGATGATTTTTAGGCGTCTCAACAATATTCGAGCATATTGACAGATTAAAAAAAGGTACAGTATTTGACCACTGAGTTGTACACCCAAATTGAAATTACACCACTACATGGGGCCAAAGAGTCCCTGTCAGTCTCTGTGATATAGAACTCATAGATCACCATATGAAGTCTATCTCATTCAAATTTTAGACCAAATGGCCAGGAACTCAGCGAGATATAAGGTCAGCACTGCGGTGATGCTGTGAAGTGTGACAATGGCTGAGCTGTACACAAGCTGTACACTTCATGCAGCATGTAGTAGCAGCTATAGGATCTGACCAAAGTAACTTGTAATGAGGCATAGGATGAAAACAGCCATTTTCCAGTGGTTTATGAGGTTTGGAACAGCCGGTACGCAAGGTGTTCGTCACATTTTGGTGTATGTCACACATGTGACACAATCCGTCAAATCATGTTTTCCCCGTATTTCTATGGATATTGAACCAAATTGGGTAAAGTTTTGATACCCTCAGACTCTTTGGACATATACCTTGCACTTCAATCCCTAAAACCAGAGCCCTGACAGCATAGCATGACATAATCCCCTGTTCTTTATTTCTGTCCTAGTGGCAATATTACAGTAAGCTGACCACAGCTCAATGGCAATGTATTCTTTCACTGCCGAAACCCCTATTATGTCTGCCCATGGGTCCTACCTGGCTTTCCTGATACAAAATCAAGGTCTATGGGTTGGTTTTGATGCATGAAAAGCTAGTGTACAACTCAATGATAGTGTACAGGTCAGCGGTCAAATACTGTATCAACAATTTGAACCAACTAGACGACACCTGGAATCTAACCAGAGCCATCCATATTGTGCAGTGGGGCGTGCTACCATTACACCATCATCGCTTCAAGAGTGAGAACAAAGCATCGTGCTTCAGTCCCCTTTGGACCTCAAAAGAGTCCATTCCCTCGATTATATCACTCCAAGATGTCAAAGGGTAGCACCTTGTAGTCGCTTGTCGATCCTCGACTCGGACAGATACTTCAGCCTCGCAGCATGCGCCCCGACCACCGCACCCACTTCACCCTTCATCCTTCCGTAATCTACCCCACGAGCTCCGCGAGCCCCGGGACGCGAGAGGAGAGGTAGAAGCATGTTAGAATGCATTCAAGTCTAACGGATGTCTTCAAAGGTATCTCCCGGCAAAAAATTAGGTGCGAGACTCACAAGTTGAATTAGGTGGGAGATTTGAAAGTTGAGTTGGGCGCGAGATGTGAAATTTTGAATTAAGCGCGAGATCAAAAAAAATTGAATTAGGTGTGAGATGTGAAATGTTGAATTAGGCGCGAGAGTAAAATTGAATGAAAGTAGCAAAATAATATTTCAGCAGTTTCACCACCACAATGGTCGGTTTTTGATTCGGCCTGACACTTGGAACCCATGGGCCTGCGTTGTAGGTGTGCCAGCTTGACTTTCAAATTGTAGATTCTAACATATCAATGCGACTAATATCTTCAGGAGTGCACAGAGCATATAGAATCTATGGAGATAAAATTGGTTATGACATCTCATCATTTGCTCTCGAGTAGTTTCACGTTCATTTGTTCAAGGCCGCAAGGATCTCTTTGGCCAATGGTCCAGCTGAATTTGGATTCTGTCCTGTATACAGATTCCCATCCACGACAACCTTGACCTGAAAACTGTGTCAGAAATGAAATGAACATTGATAAGTGATATTCTTACCCCGAAGAGCTCGTCTGCCTTCTCGTACTTCCCTCCCAGAGCCGTGATTTTATCTTCGAGAAGGAATGGAACCCACTGATCGTATATCATTGGAAATTTCAAGTCATGAATCCTGAGAACATCGACTTACAGCAACGGCGTTCAAGGCTTCCTCCTCAGCATTGGAAAATCCTGTGAAGGACTTTCCTACGAAGATGGATTTGCCTTGCGAGTCTGTGACCTCAGCTAGAGCTCTGTTATATATTATATTTGGTCAGTCATGTTGAAATTTCAGTCGATCCAGAACTCACGCAGTTCCATGACAGACTGCAGCAGTGATCTTTCCAGCACGATAGAACTGTAGCATCAATGAGTTTTTCACGTGGAAGTAGCTGGATGGACTGGTACTGACATCTGATGCGAGTTTGATGCTCAATGGGTTCTGTGGAAGGTCGATAACTGGGGCATGGCCACCGGGATAGAATATGACATCATATTTGGCGGCGTCGACATCAGAGAGCGTCTTAGCCTCGGCAAACTTGGCCTTGACGGTTTCGTCCTTCAAGAAATCAATGCATTCCTTGTCCTTTGCCCAGAGCTTTTAGAAGATACATATAAGTGTCGATGTGAGAGATATATGAGTGAGATACTGACTTCAACACTGGCGGGATCAACTGGGAAGGTGCCTTTGGGCGAAGCAAAGTCGATCTCGCACGAGGGGGAGAATATATAGTATGGATGAGCGGCTGTAGATCTCAAGGTTAGTGTCTTAGCACTGAAGGCATATCCGCCGAATGCAGACCTTCTGGTAGATAATAACCAGCGGGGTTTCCCACTAGATTTTTGTCGGCAGAGGAGAAAACAAAGAGAATTGAAGGCATGATAGTGAATAAAGATCCTTCCAGACCTGCGATTCTTTATACATTAGATGCTGGGTCACGCTATGGAGGGTTAATCAGCCCCTTGTTGGTCATGAGCCTTCTTGTCAATACCTTGGATACCCGGGTCCGGATGTTAGATCGATGACACAACGCGAATGACGAGATAGCCATTTTGAACAGAAACTACAACCAAGTGCACAGTGCTGAAAGCTTGAACATTGATATGGAATATCAGCATACCAATGCAGGATTCACCTCTCGCAGCCGTCGAGCTCAAGGTAGATTCCGTAGAAGGCGACTTACGCACGGATATCACTCGGCAAACATCATGGTCCGTGGGAATAGAAATATGATGGCGCTTGACTTGGACCAAAGCGTTCTTCCTTTACTATCACCTGCTCCTTCGGCGGACCGCTCCAAGATGGACCAGTCACCTGAACAAGTAACCGAGAGATCAAGAGATGCAGTTAAATACTCGCTAGGTATTTGAGAAGTCCCTTTGTCGCTCTGCCATGCATGTCACACGCGTAAATACGAGAAACCGTGTGAATAAGTACCGCGGATCCTGTGATGAGATGCCCGAAGAAACACGAGGCTTGAGCTCGCTCCGAAACAAGGCAGGAATAAATATTCCTCCTGACAAAGTCGATGAACGAAAAGGCCGAACAGTCCACGAAAGGCTCGTGACAGTGGAAAACATAACCTGCTTGGTCTGGCGGCGACGTTTGAGGAGCTGCAGGAGCGGTATCGACCAAGTTTGCTTGCATGGCAGGTGGATCGCGGTGAGACTAGAGCTGATGGTATCGGAGAGCTAGCGCCTGAAACGCGTCTATCGGGACGTGCGTGATCCTCCAAAACCTCAAATCTACAATCCGATCGTTGGATACGGCGACGCCTCGATATGCCGATGCACTTTGACGTCTCGCAACGCGAAAGTACTTATATGCGAGGAAATGCGCGATATAAGCAGTCGAGGAAATGGACCCCGAAGTGAACTGAGGCATCATAACGGTTGAGTATTGCTGATGTCGAGAATGATTCGAGATGTGTTGAAATTCTAGATAATCGGCAGCTGCTGTCCAGTCTTGATATGGACATTCATGGAATAGTGAAGTAGAGTGGGTAGGTGTGCGAAGGAGGGCCAACTGAGTTGCCGGAGAAGGCAAACTGGGTCATGCGACTGTATTGACATCCATCTGCTGGAAAGGCATATGGAGGTCCAGAGTGACATTTCACAGCTTATTATTGAAGTCAGAGCAACCCAGGTAGATTTTTCAGTGCTACTGAGTTGGCTGTATTACTGATCAGCATCTGAACCAGGAAAGAGCTCGCCTTCGAATGCAGTGACCTTTTCGGCTGAATCAGTAATCTTTCCCAACCATTTGCGCTCCACCAGCCGCATATGGGCTTTCCTATTCTCTCCTTCACACACATCCCCATAAAAGAACGAAGCTGACAATAGAAGGTGACACAGGCAACCATGAAAACGCAAGCGTCCAAGGCGCTGGTGAAGTCAGCAATAGATTCTGCATCGTCTGAAGGTGTATTTGTTGGTTTGGATGTAATCCAATGTTCGTCTGGGCCGCGCGCAGGTAATTTTCTTTGTTCCTGCCAGCTTTGATATGCTGCAAGATTTCAGTAGATGGTGGTCAGAGACAGAAGAAAGAAGGACAGAAGAGAGAAAGAAATGCTGCAGTGGTCACAAAAACGGCCCAGTGAGACCTAGAAAACATAGAGCAGGAAGAGATGAAATAGCAGGACTTGAACTTGATAATCTACACAAGGTCGCGTAAATGATCTACTTAATCTACCAAAGTCACCGCCAGATCACCGAGTTGCACCTTGTATCTGACCAGCATCTTGCTAGCTCAGCGATTGTGGTTTGACAAGTAAGATTGATAGCCACTCTACCAATGACATGTATGAGGGCTATAGAGACTGAGAGGTGAAAGTCGGAGTATGGAGCTGAACTGATCCGAAACAGGCCATCAAGTAGCTCCTGCACTCTCAATGTTCACAGTGTAAGATAATGTGCTCACATAAGAGGTCGATATAATAAGTGATGAATCATGTCCTACATAGTATGCTAATAAACTGGTAGAGTCACTGTCATATAGAGACTTGGCATTACCCTGCTACAATAAAGGCAAGTACTGTTGCCTATCAATCAGCCTCTGACTACCTACTGGTGTTGATGCTTATATGTAACTTCATCCTAGAAGCATCAAGGTGGATGAGAAAATAGGAGTGACCCACAAGACCTAGATCGCACCGAGCACATATCCTAAACCACCTGGTTTCCTCTTCCAAAGACTTGCCACCGTCCAGGGAAGAGGAACAGCTCACTCTCAACATGCCTGCTGAATTGTGGTGCCACGAATTCGACACACCAGCCTCGAGAAGTTGGAAACATTGTCCGCGATATGTGACGAGTGGACCTTTCCCAGGCTATTACCTGAGGATTGCACACACTCTTTCACAAACGCGGCAAATCTGCGAAATGTGACTCTGGACCGTTTGGGAACTTGATCTGATATATTTCTTGGGAGCTCGATCTGCCTTCAGATGACGCACGTCAATACGGCGTCCTGGGCGGTCCACTCTAGTTCACTATTCCTTGCCCATTCTACGAACAGGTACCAATCATCTGCAATGCCAATTACAACCTCACGCATCTCGACATCAGCGATACTAGCAGCGCTATCATCAACTCTCACAGTCCTACTGTGTATCTGGACCCCGAAGGACTCTATCGCCACAACAAACATGACACGCGTCTCAAGGATAGCCACTAGCCTTATATGGTTAAACAAGGCGTGCCATCGCCCCGCTCCGGCTCCACATTTAGATCATTTGGAGTCTTTCATTACTTCTAATACAGCTTATAGGAGGTTGACCATGGTTCTGAATCCACCATACCACCGGACTGAGGATCATATCTTGTTCAAAACTTTCAACTCTTTCCATCGAAAATTGTTTCTGAACAGTTGATCAGACAGTAAACTAGCCAGAGCAATACAGAACTCACCACCGACAGTGCCACAATGTTGGAGATACCGATGTCAGTGAGGTGGCGCCACAGACTTCAAAGAAGCCGGGGAGAATAAGTATGGGTTAGGTTGTTCAATGCTGCACAATGGCTCAGCTGTGGATAGTTATCAATGATTGAAATTCTGGGACGACGGCCTTGGTTACCTGACCTTATCTTGATAGGAAGAAATGAATAGGACAGTCGGCCTCGATGGGCCGGAGAGACGACTCATACTCGGAAAAGGCCCAGAAAGATGGCAGGATGGACAGAC